ACTCAGGAGGCTGAGGCAGGAGAATTGCTTGAATCTAGCAGGCAGAGGTTACAGTGAGCTGAGATCACACCACTGCACTCCAGCCTAGCCGAGAGAGTGAGACTCTGTCTCAAAAAAAAAAAAAAAAAGAAAAGCTTGTCAAGAGTAGCTTGAGGCTGGGTGCAGTGTCCTCCACCTTTCCACCTGCAGTCCCAGCACTTTGGGTGGTTGAGGTGGGTGGATTACTTGCACCCAAGAGTTCTAGACTAGCCTGGGCAATATAACAAAATTCCATCTGTAGAAAAAGCCAGGTGTGGTGATATTCACCTGCAGTCCCAGCTCTTCAGGAGGCTGTGGTGGAATATTGCTTGAGCTAGAGAGGTTGAGGCTGCAGTGAGCTGTGATCATGCCACTGCACTCCTGCCTGGGCAACAGAGCAAGACTCTCAAAAAAAAAAAAAAATTAAAACGTAATTTGAACATGCTTTCTAATTTATTTATTTATTTATTTATTTGAGACAGCGTCTCGCTCTATTGCCCAGGCTGGAGTGTAGTGGTACGATTTTGGCTCACCACCAACTCTACCTCCTGGGTTCAAGCTATTCTCATTCAGCCTCCTGAGTAGCTGGGACTACAGGCATACACCACCGTGCCTGGCTATTTTTTTTTTTAAGTTGGAGTTTTGCTCTTGCTCTTGTTGCCCACACTGGAGTGCAGTGGCATGATCTCGGCTCACCGCGGCCTCAGCGTCCTGGGTTCAAGTGATTCTCGTGCCTCAGCCTCCTGATAACTGGGATTACAGGCGCCTGCCACCACGCCCAGCTAATTTTGTATTTTTAGTGGAGATGGGGTTTCTCCATGTTGGTCAGGCTGATCTTGAACTCCTGACCTGAGGTCATCTCCCCACTTCACCCTCCCAAAGTGCTGGGATTACAGGCATGAGCCACTGTGCCTGGTCCGCATGGCTAATTTTATATATTTTTTTAGTAAAGACGGGGTTTCACTCTGTTGGCCAGGCTGGTCTCAAACTCCTGACATTGTGATCCACCTCGGCCTCCCAAAGTGCTGGGATTGTAGTGTTGTAAGCCACCATGCCTGGCCACTAATGTTTTGAAGGACACTGTATGTACGTTGTGGAATGGTTAAATCTAGCTAATTAGCAAATATATTACCTCACATAGTTATCATTTTTGTGGTAAGAATACTTAATATCCACTCAGTATTTTTCAATAATACAGTATGTCGTGGTCTAGTCACCATGCTATACAGTAGTTCTCTTGAACTTATTTTTCCGACTGTGATTATGTATCCTTTGTCTAACATCTTCTCAATACCCCCCCGACCATAACCGCAAGCATCCTAGCCTCTGATAGCTGCCATTCTCCTGTCTACTTCTGTGAGATCAACTTTGACTCCGCGTATGAGTGAAATAATATGTATTTGTCTTTCTGTGCGTGGCTTATTTCGCTTAACATAACGTCCTCCAGGTTTGTCCATGTTGTTGCAAATGAAAGGATTTCTTTCTTTTTTATGATTGAACTAGTATCCCATTGTATATTTATACCACATGTTCTTTATCCATTCGTCTGTTTTTCTTTTTTTTTTGAGATGGAGTCTTAGTCTGTTGCCCAGGTTGGAATGCAGTGATGCGTTCTCAGCTCACTTCAACCTCTGCCTTCTGGGTTGAAGCAGTCCTCCTGCCTTAACCTCCCTAGTAGCTGGGATTACAGGCACCTGCCATCACACCCAGCTAATTTTTGTATTTTAGTAGAGATGAGGTTTCACCATGCTGACCAGGTTGGTCTCAAACTCCTGACCTCAAGCAATCCACCTGCCTTGGTCTCCCAAATGCTGGGATTACAGACATGAGCCATGGTGCCTGACCCATCCATTTGTCTGTTGATGGACACTTAGGTTGATTCTATATCTTGGATATTTTGAGTAGTGCTGCAATAAAATGGGAGTGCTTATCTCTGTTTCACATGCTGATTTGATTTTCTTTGGCTATATATTTAGTAGCAGGATTGCTAGATCATATGGTAGTTCTATTTTTAAATTTTTGAGGAACTTCCATACTGTTCTTTCTCCATGTGGTTGTAATTGACATTCCCACCAACAGTGTGCTTAGTTTTTTTTTTTTGAAACTGAGTCTCACACTGTTGCCCAGGCTGGAGTGCAGGGGTGTGATCTCTGCAATCTCCACCTCCTGGGTTCAAGCAATTCTCCTGCCTCAGCCTCCCGAGTAACTAGGACTACAGGTGTGTGCCACCATGCCCAGCTAATTTCTTTGTATTTTTAGTGGAGACAGGGTTTCATCATGTTGGCCAGGCTGGTCTCTAACTCCTGACCCCATGATCTGCCCGCCTCAGCCTCTGAAAGTGCTGGGATTACAGGTGTGAGCCACCATGCCTTGCCAAGATTCTTTTTTTTAAAAAACTTTTAATTTTTTTAAATAAAGATGGGGTTTCACCATGTTGGTCATGCTGGTCTTGAACTCCCGACCTCAGGTGATCCGCCTGCCTTGGCCTCCAAAGTGCTTGGATTACAGGCGTGAGCCACCACGCCCGGCCAAAATTCTTTTATCTCTACATTCTCACCAACATTTGTTAGTGTATTTTTTTTTTTTTTTTTTTTTTTTTTGAGACAGAGTCTCACTCTGCCGCCCAGGCCGGAATGCAGTGGCGAGATCTTGGCTCACTGTAACCTCTACCCCCCTGGGTTCAAACGATTCTCCTGTCTCAGTCTCCTGAATACCTGGGATTACAGGCACCTGCCATTATGCCTGGCTAATTTTTGTGTTTTTAGTAGAGACAGGCTTTACCATGTTGGCCTAGCTAGGCTGGTCTTGAATTCCTGACTTCAGGTGATCCATCTGTGTTGGACTCTCAAAATGCTGGAATTACAGGTGTGAGCCACCGTGCCTGGCCTCATCTTTCATCTTTTTGATCATAGCCATCTTAAGGGGAGTGAGGTGATATCTCGTGGTTTTGTTTTGCATTTCCTTTATGATTAGTGATGTTGGGAATTTTTTTCATATACCTCTTGACCATTTGTATGTCTTTTGAGAAATGTGTATTCAGATCTTTTTTTTTTTTTTTTTGAGACGGAGTTTCACTCATGTTACCCAGGGTGGAGTGCAATGGCGTGATCTTGGCTCACCGCAACCTCCGCCTCCTGGGTTCAGGCAATTCTCCTGCCTCAGCCTCCTGAGTAGCTGCGATTACAGGCATGCACCACCATGCCCAGCTAATTTTTTGTATTTTTAGTAGAGACGGGGTTTCACCGTGTTGACCAGGATGGTCTCGATCTCTTGACCTCGTGATCCACCCGCCTCGGCCTCCCAAAGTGCTGGGATTACAGGCTTGAGCCACCGCGCCCGGCCCGTGTATTCAGATCTTTTTATCCATTTTTACATGGGGTTATTTTCTTGGTATTGAATTGAGTTCCTTATATATTTTGGATATTAACCCCTTATCAGGTGTATAGTTTGCAAGTATAGTGAACCATTCTGTAGGTTCTCTCTTTATTCTTTCCTTTGCTGTGCAGGAGCTTTTTAGTTTTATATAATCCAAATTGTCTGTTTTTACTTTTGTTGACTGTGTTTTTGAGGTCATATCCTCCAAAAATCATTGCCTAGACCATTGCCATTGACCTTTCTTCCTGTTTTCTAGTAGTTTCATAGACTGCCTTTTTTTTTTTTTTTTTTTTTTTTTTCTGAGACAGTCTCAACCTGTCACCCAGGCGGGAGTCCAGTGGCATAGTCATGGCTTGCTACAGCCTCAACTTCCCAGGCTGAGGTGATTCTACCACCTCAGCCTCCTGAGTAGCTAGGACTGCAGGTGCGTGCCACCACACCCGGCCCATGTTCTGTATTTTTTAGTAGAGACAGGGCTTCGCTATGTTGCCTAGGCTAGTCTTGAACTCCTGACTTTAGGTGATCCACATGGCCCAGCCTCCCAAAATGCTGGGATTACAGGCGTGAGCCACCATGCCTGGCTGCATGATGCACAATCTTGCGACTTCTATTTAACATAATACTGGAAGTTACAGATGGAGCAATAATAAAAGAAAAAGAAATACAAGCCATCTTAACTGGAAAGGAAGAAGTTTTTTTTTTTTTTTTTTTTTCTTTTTAAACATACATTCATCAAGCCCTAGTGAGGTAAATTTTTCAAAAAAAACAACCATTCATTCATTCATTCCAGGGAGGGTTTCACCATATAGGCCAGGCTGGTCTTGAACTCCTGACCTTATGACCCGCCCGCCTTGGCCTCCCAAAGTGCTGGGATTACAGGCATGAGCCACCATCCATGGCCTAAAGGAAGAAGTTAAATTGTTCCTGTTTGTATAAGATATATGATGTCAGTGTTTACTGCTATAAATTGCTTTTGCTGTATCCCATAGGTTATGTATGCTATGTTTCAATTTTCATTTGTTTCAAGAAATTTCCTAATTTGTCTTTTAATGTATTCATTGACCTATTGGTTGTTCAAGAGCATGTGTTTAATTTCCATGTATTTGTGAATTTTCTGAAGATCCTCCTGTTAATGATTTCTAGTTTATACCATTGTGGTCATAAAAGATATCTGATACGATTTCTATCTTCTTAAATGTGTTAAGACTTTATTTTGTGGCTTGACGTATGATCTATCCTTGAGAATGTTGCATATGCAGCTTAAAATAATGTATATTATGCCACTGTTGGATGGAATATGCTGTAGATGTCTGTTAGGTCCATTCGTTCTGTAGTGTCACTTAAGTCTCGTGTTTCGGTGTTGATTTTCTGTCTGCATGATCTGTGCATTGCTAAATGTGAGGCGTGAAAGTCTTCTACTGTTACTATATTACAGTCTATCTTCAGCTCTGTTATTATTGGCTTTATAGGCCGAGCATGGTGGCTCATGCCTGTAATCTTAGCACTTTGGGAGGCCGAGGTGGGCGGATCACAAGGTCAAGAGATTGAGACCATCCTGGCCAACATGGTGAAATCCTGTCTCTACTAAAAAATACAAAAATTAGCCGGGCGTGCTGGCACGCGCCTGTGGTCCCAGCTACTCGGGAGGCTGAGGTGGAAGAATCGCTTGAACCCAGGAGGCGGAGGTTGCGGTGAGCCTAGATTGCACCACTGCACTCCAGCCTGGTGACAGAGCAAGACTCTGCCTCAAAAAAAAAAAAAAAGAAAAAAATTGGCTTTATATATTCATTGCTTTGATGTTGGGTGCATATATATATATACATACACACACACACACACACACACACACACACACACACACAATTGTTCTCGCTAAATTGAGTCCTTATTATTATATAATGACCTTCTTTATCTCTTTTTACAGTTTTTTTTTTTCTGTATACAGTGAGAAACATATCTTTTTACAGTTTTTGATTTAAAAATCCATTTTATTGGGGGCCAGGTTCGGTGGCTCATGCCTGTAATCCCAGCACTTTGGGAGGCTGAGACGGGTGAATCACTTGAGATCAGGAGTTCAAGACCAACATGGTGAAATCCCATCTGTATTAAGACTACAAAAATTATCCAGGCATGGTGGCACACACCTATAATTCCAGTTACTTGGGAGGCTGAGGCAGGACAATTGCTTGAACTCAGGAGGTGGAGGTTACAGTGAGCCATGATCCTGCCACTGTACTCCAGCCTGGGCAACAGAGTGAATGAGACTCTGTCTGAAAATAACAAAAACAAAAAGGATTTTACCTGATATCAGTGAAGTGGTTCTTGCTCTCTCTTTCTTTTTTTCTTTGAGACAGGGTCTCTCTGTCTAGGCTAGAGTGCAGTGGCATGAATGTGGCTCACTCTAGCCTTAAACTCTTGAGATTAGTGATTTTCCTACCTCAGCCTTCTGTGTAGTTGACCACAGGCACATGCCACCATGCCTCGCTAATTTTTTATATTTTGTCTAGAGATGGGGCCTCAACATGTTGCTCAGGATGTTTTCAAATTCCTGGTCTCAAATACCTTGGCGCTTCAGAGTGCTGGGGATACAGGCTTTTGTTCTCTTTTGATTTCCATTTGCATGGAGTATCTTTTTCCATTCCTTCACTTTCAGTCTACGTGTGTCTATACAAGTGAGGTGAATCTCTTGTTGGCAGCATATAGTTGGGTCTTGTTTTTATTTTATTTTTTAACCATTCAGCCACCCTATGTCTTGATTAGATAATCCAGTTCATTTACATTCAGTCATTATTGATAGGTAAGGAGTTAATATCGCCATTCTGTTGTTCTCTATTTGTTTTATAGCTCCTTTCTTCCTCTCTTACAGTCTTATTTGGTGATTGATTTTCTCTAGCATGTTTTGATTCCTTGCCTTTGCCTTTTTTTTTTTTTTTTTTTTTTTTTTGAGATAGGGTGTTGCTCTGACATGATCATAGCTCACTCTAACCTCCAGCTCCTGGGCTCAAGCAGTCTTCTCGCCTCAAACTCTAGAGTAGCTAGGACTATAGGTGTGTGCCATCAAACCGGGCTAATTTTTTTTTTTCCTGTAGATACGGGGTCTTGCCATGTTGCGAAAGCTGGTCTTGAACTCCTGGGCTGCAGCAATCCTCCTGCCTCAGCCTCTTGAGTGGCTAGAAATGCAGGCATGTGCTACCATGCCCTGCTAATTTTTTTTTTTTATTTTTGTAGAGACAAAGTCTTGCTATATTGTCCGGGCCAGCTTTGAACTCCTAGCCTCAAGTGCTCCTCCCACCTTGGGCTCCCAAAGCACTGCTGTTTCAGGCCTGGTCCCCTTTGCTGGTTTGTTTCTTGATTTTTATTTTTTATTTATCTATTACAGGCTTTTGCTTTGTCATTACCATGCGGCTTACAGAAAAGCTCTTGGAGTTACAAAAGGTTATTTTAAGCTAATAAGAACTTAGCCTTGATTTCCTAAAAATCCTTTATACTTTTACCTTACCAGCCCCATTTTGAATTTTTGATGTCACGGCTTGCATCTTTTTTTTCTTTTCTGAGACAGTGTCATTTTTGTCACCCAGGCTGGAGTGCAATGGCGTGATCTCAGCTCACTGCAACCTCCGCCTCCTGGGTTCAAGTGATTCTCCTGCCTCAGCCTCCTGAGTAGCTGGATTACAGGTGGCCACCACCACGCTCCACTAATTTTTGTATTTTTAGTAGTGATGAGGTTGCACCATGTTGGCCAGGCTTTTCTGGAACTCCTGACCTCAGGTAATCCACCCGCCTTGGCCTCCCAAAGTGCTGGGATTATACAGGCGTGAGCCACTGCGCCCGGGCTGCATCTTTTTATATTGTATATTCCTTTATAAATTATCATAGTTACTTTAATAGTTTTGTCTTTTAACCTTCCTACTAAAGATATATGTAATTTATACACCACCATTACAGTATTAGTGTATACTTAATTTGAGCTTGTGTTTACTTTTTCCAGTGAGTTTTTTTTTTTTTTTTTTTTTTTTTGAGACGGAGTTTCGCTCTTGTTACCCAGGCTGGAGTGCAATGGCGCGATCTTGGCTCACCGCAACCTCCGCCTCCCGGGTTCAGGCAATTCTCCTGCCTCAGCCTCCTGAGTAGCTGGGACTACAGGCACGCGCCACCATGCCCAGCTAATTTTTTTGTAGTTTTAGTAGAGTCGGGGTTTCACCATGTTGACCAGGATGGTCTTGATCTCTCGACCTCGTGATCCACCCGCCTCGGCCTCCCGAAGTGCTGGGATTACAGGCTTGAGCCACCGCGCCCGGCCTCCAGTGAGTTTTATACTTTTTATTTTTTTTTTTGAGACAGAGTCTTGCTTTGTTGCTCAGGCTGGAATGCAGTGGTGCGATCTTGGCTCATTGGAACCTCTGCCTCCCGGGTTCAAGCAGTTCTCTGCCTCAGCCTCCCGAGTAGCTGGGGTTACAGGTGTCCTCTACCACGCCTGGCTAATTTTTGTATTTTTAGTAGAAACAGGGTTTCATCATCTTGACCAGGCTGGTATTGAACTCCTGACCTTGTGATCCTCCTGCCTCAGCCTTCCAAAGTGCTGTGATGGTAGGTCACAGGTGTGAGCTACCGTGCCCGGCTGAGTTTTACAGTTTCAGATGTTTTTGTGTACTCATTAGCATCCTTTTTTTTCAGTTTGAAAAACTTCCCATAGCATTTCTTGAAAGGCAGGTCTTCTGATAATTGACTCCTTCTGCTTTTGTTTGTCTGAGAAAGTCTTTATCCTTTGTTTCTGAAGAATAGCTTTGTCTTGGGACAGACAGCTTTGTCAGAAGGATTTTTCCTGGTCACATTTTTTTTTTTTTTTTTAAGATGAGGTCAAGCTCTCGTCACCAGGCTGGAGTGCAGTAGCACAATCTCAGCTCATTGCAACCTCTGCGTCCCCAGTTCGAGTGATTCTCCTGCCTCAGTCTTCCAAGTAGCTGGGACTACAGGTGCATGTCACCATGTCCGGCTCATTTTTTGTATCTTTAGTAGAAACGGGGTTTTCACTGTGTTAGCCAAGATGGTCTTGATCTCCTGACCTCATGATCTGCCCGCCTCAGCCTCCCAAAGTGCTGGGATTACAGATGTGAGCCACTGTACCTGACCTTTTTTTTTTTTTTCTGCCTGTGTATTTAGAAATAACCTGTCTTTGAGTTCATAGATTTTTCTGTTTGATTTTGTTGTTGGTGTTCTATATTACACTTATTTTGTTTATTGTATTTTTTCAACTCCAGGATATGTTTGATTGTTAAAAATTAATATTTCAGTCTCGTTAAATTTCTCCTTCTGGTCAGTTACTATTTTTATTTTGTTGAATTGTTCCTCTATTTTTTTTTTTTTTTTTTTTGAGAGTTTTGCCCTTGTTGCCCAGGCTGGAGTGCAATGGTGCGCTGTTGGCTCACCGCAACCTCTGCCACCTGGGTTCAAGCGATTCTCCTGCCTCAGCCTCCCGAGTAGCTGGGATGACAGGCATGTGCCACTACGCCCAGCTAATTTTTTGTATTTTTAGAAGAGACAGCATTTCCCCATGTTGGTCAGGCTGGTCTCGAACTCCCAGCCTCAGGCGATCCACCTGCCTTGGCTTCCCAAAGTGCTGGGATTACAGGCATGAGCCACCATGCCTGGCCTGTTCCTCTATTTTATTGAATCTCCCTGAGCTCCTTTAAAACAACTCTTTTGAATATTTTAGCAGGTGGTTCATGCATCTTCATCTCTCTCTCTCATTTTTTTTTTTTTTGAGACGGAGTCTCACTCTTTTGCTCAGGCTGGAGTGCAGTGGCGGGATTTCAGCTCACTGCAAACTCTGCTCCCGGGTTCAAGTGATTCTCCTGCCTCATCCTCCTCAGTAGCCGGATTACAGGAGCACACCACCACACCCGGCTAATTTTTGTATTTTTTAGTAGATATGGGGTTGTGCCACGTTGACCAGGCTAGTCTTGAACTCCTGACCTCAGGTAATCCACCAATCTTGGCCTCCCATAGTACTGGGATTACAGGCATGAGCCACTGTGCACAGCCACATCTCCATCTCTTTAGTGTCACTCACTGGCATTGTACTTTATTTGTTTGGTGATGCCATGTTTCCCTGAATGTTCTTGAACTTTTTGGTCATGTGTTAATATCTGCACATTGAAAAAGTAGTTATTTATTTGAAGTTTTTGCTGTCTGGCTTTGTCTGGGAACATCCTTCACCATTAAACTTGTCTAGAAATTCTGGGCAAATCAAATAGTGTCTAAGCCTGTGACTGCTGCAAATGTTGCTGGGCTAGGAGGTGCCCTAAACCCAGGATTGCAGCAGCCAGCTAGTGCAGTGCCAGGTTGCAATCCTGTGACCAACTGAGGTTGGCATAGTGTTTGGGTCTACCCACAGCCCATAGCTGGTGAGGCTAGCACAGCACTGGGGTTGTGTTTGAAGCCCCTGGTCACTAAGGCCTGCCTGCTAAGGTGTTTCCAGAACCCACAGTTCTAGTCGTTAGCCGGTACTGATGCAGACTGCAGAATGAGTCTCTGCATTCCTGTCTGGTGCTGGGGCAAGTCTGAAGGCTCAGTTTTTGAGTACCCATCTGTAGTTGGGCTGTGCAAGTCTGTTCAGTGCTGGATTTTACTTTTGGTAGGCCTGGTATTACAGT